GTTACCTCTGTACGGCAAGTGGACACACTAGGGCTCTATGACCTAGAAGAATGTTTGACCAAAAACAATGAATAGAGCAGGATTTAGGGCTGTTGTGCATAGGGTCACTATGAGTCACAGGAGAATCAATGGCCTATAACAACAACAACAACAACAACAACAACAGTAGGAGAGCAGGAAGTGCTGTGCCTCCCACTTCAGAATGCAGATAGATCTTAAGAAGCCCTGATGGGATGGGATGTATTGGACTGATAACCAAAAGGCTAAGGTTTCAAATCCCTCAGTTGCTGAGGGAGAAAGAGTGACAGTCTCCTCCTATAAAGATTTCCAGCCTTGGGAATCTGATGGAGGGGCACTATGAAGCAGAACTGAGTCAATTACAGTGAGCTTGTCTTTGCTTTAGCTAGATCTTTAGAGTATAGTGTTCAACATTGTTATTGTGTACTGTAGAGTTGGAATGGACTTACAGCTGACTCTGCAGAGCATTTTTCAGGGGTAGTAATTCCCAGAGCAGGAGGTTGACCATCTTATTCCTGTGGAGCCCCTGGTGGATTTGAACCAGGTGCCTTCAGTTTGGTAGAATAGCTCCTTACCACAAGGCCACTAGAGCTCCATAAATTTAAGGTTGATTTTTAACAATATTACTATTACTAAGTTAAACTAAGGTGTTGTGTAGTTTTAAGAAGGCTTCAGGGAATATTTTTGGTTTAAGGATTATGCCAGGGCACCAGTTTTAGGAGTTCATTCAAGTTTCATGGCTCCAAGTAGTCTAGAGTCCTGGAAAATTTGAAATTCTGTTCTATATTCTCTGTCTCCTTTGGCCAAGATTCTTCTATCAAAGATTTGATCAGAGTGTTCAGTCATGGTATCAAAGCACCACCCAGTTCTGGTGTAACGGCAAAGCTGACCGTTGTTCGTGGAGACAGTGAGCCGCATCCTCCTCCCTTTCCTGACTGTCTTCCCTCTGTTGTTCCAGGCTAACAGAGGGCCATTATTACATCTTTGTTCATCACTTGCAAGCTTTTAAGACCCTATAGACACTAAATACTGAACTAGAAAATAGAACAGAGGTACTTTATGTTATTAGGCCAATTAACTGGATGTTCTATGAAAGAACAACCCTAAACTTCCAAGTCAGGAACCCAAGTCTTTTGAGGTTTTTGCTTGTAGTTAATCAGGCTCAGACACTTCTCTTTCAGTTAGTCATTGTTGCAAATATACTTGTTACATAACTTTGCCAATTGAACTTTTTATAGGTATAAAACTTATTAACAGCAATTGTGATAATAGGCTGGTAACCTTACCCTTAATCAATGCGGTTATGTCTATCACTATTAACTCCTCCTATCCTTATTAGCCTCTAATAAACTTTGTTTCTGTATATTTGGTTTGGGTTTTTTTCCTGGTTTGCTGTATAAGTAAGGTCATACAATATTTGTCCATTTGTGATTAATTTAATTCATTCAGTGTATCTTCCAATTCCATCCATATTGTAGCGTGTTTCAATATTACATTTTTCCTACTGACAAGAGTCAGAGAATAGCAGAAGAATGTCTAATTGTGCTTTATTGACTATGCAAAGGGCATCTGACTGTATGGATTATTGAGAAGAATGAGAATACCAGAATTTATTGTGGTCATGTAAAACCTGTACTTAACCAGGAAGCTAAAATTAAGAAAGGTGTGTGTGAGGGTTGTATCCTTTCTCCATAGCTATTAAATCTATACGATGAGTAAAGTATTCAAGGAACTACACTCTAAAAGAAGATTGTGGTATCAGGATTGGAGGACAACTCATCAATAATCTATAGTATGCAGATGACACATAGCCCTGTTTGCTGAAACGGAATATGACTTGAAATACTTGCTGCAGAAGGTCAAATACTGCATGTTTCCATATTGATTGCATCTCAACAGCAATAAAACAAAAGCTCTCACCATTGAACGAATAGGCAACATCATAATAGATGGAGAAAAGATTGAGACTGTCAATGGCATAATCTTACTTGGATCACAATTAGTACAGATGGTACCAGCAATCAGGAGATCAGGAGATGTATTGTACTGGAAAGTCTGCAGTCAGGGCCCGCTCCAAATTATTGAGGAGCACTGATGTTCGTTTGAGAACTAAGTTGCCCCTGCCATAGTCTTTTTAGTCACTTGCTATGCATCTAAGAGTTAGACAATGAATGTGGATAACAGAAGAAAAATTGATGCTGTCTTTCACCACTTCTTCACCTTCCTAAGCATAATGCCTCTCTCCAGTGAATAGCCTCTCCTAGAAACATGGCAAAAGTATGTAAGATGAAGAAACTTCCTCATCTTTGCCTCCAATGAGCACTCTGGCTGCACCTTCTCCAAGACATAGCTGTTCTTTTGAAAGTCCATGGGATAGTCAGTACTCTTTTCCAAAACCACAGCTCAAAGACATCAATTCTTCTTTCATCCTTATTTATTGCCCAGCTCTCATATGCATTACAAGTGACTGAAAAAAACCATGGCCTGAATAGCGTACACCTTAGTTCTCAAACTAACATCATTACTCCTCAATAATTTGGAGAGGTCCCTTACTAGACTTTCCCAGTGCAATACCTCTCCTAATCTTCTGAGAGCTGGTACCAAGTGTATTGATTGTGGATCCAGGTAAGATGAAAATATTGACAGTTTCAATCTTTTCTCCAACTATCACGATGTTGCCTATAGGTCCAGTGGCCAGGACTTTTGTTTTCTTAAAGTTGAGACGCAATCCATACTAAAGGCTGCAGTGTTCGATCATCTGCAGCAAGAGTTTCAAGTCCTCTTCATTTTCAGCAAGCAAGAGTGTGTTATCTGCATATGGAAGATTATTGATGAGTCTTCATTCTTCTCCATAGAGTCCACTATCTCAAATAATTTGCTCAGTATACAAATTAAACAGGCACACCTTTCTTAACGTTAAACTACGTAGAGGAAAGAGGGCTTCTAAAGGTAAGGAGCTGCACTGCCAATCCAAAGGCATGCGGTTTAAATCCACCAGCTGCTCCGCGGGAGAAAGATGGGCAATGTCAGCTTGCGCGATTCACAGCCTTTGGAAACCCGCTGGAGGGTCAGTTATGGATTAGTCCTGACTCAAGGGTACACAACAAGAACAAGTACAACACGAGTCACTCCTATAGAAACTCGGAATTAGATGCATGCATGTAGTCCACCACCGTTACTGGAATTTGTTCCGTCTGTCCTCTGTTAGAGCCAGTTAGTGAGGAGGCCACTTTATCTCACAGAATAGGCTCAACTTTGTTCAAGTCCATCTATTCAAATTTCCCAATACCCGAGAGTGTTTTGTTTTCTTCTCTAACGCTGGCAAATCCAGAGGCGTGGTATACTGGGGTTTGTAGTTTAAAAAAAATCCTCTGTCCACGGCAAGAGGTTGAATGAGAACTACAACTCCCAGAGACCTCTGCGCCGACAGGAAGCATTGTGTCTGCGGCAGAAAGATGTCTGCTTTGCTTCTTCGCTGCAGGGTAGTTACTCGTGAAGGAGTTTCTGTCTGTATGTAACAAGATTAAGGTGTTCTGGCACGTACCCTGGGGCTAAAGAAGCTAGGGCCAAATATTCCAGGGATGCAGCGCTTCTGCAGATCTGAGGTGTGAGCTGGATGCTCAGGTGCCAGGGTGGTTTTGAGCCTGGAGCTGCCTGCACGCAGACCCATCTTTTTGCCTTCTATAGAGCCTTTTTATTGTCCTGCAAGGATCAACCTGGGGAAGGGTGGTGGGCAGAGATATGAAGACTCTTCCTCTTCTCCCAGGCTCATTCTGACGTCTGTGGAAACTGTCTTGAGCCCACATTGGCTATGAAGAGCGACTCTTCCTCGTCTGCAGCCCCTCTCAGGGGTCTCGGGGTGCCCCTCCGGAGCAGCGAACCGGTGCCCGCCGCCCCAGCGCCATCGCCCGCTGTGGTTCTGCTGGAGGAGGCGGCTGACCTCTTGGTGGTGCACCTGGACTTCCGGGCGGCGCTGGACACCTGCGAACGGGCCTGGCAGAGCTTGGCCTTGGATGTACATAATGAGGAGCATGGCAGCACGTACGAGCTGGGCCGGGTTGATTTCAGGGTGTTCTAGGGAGGGGCCCAGAGACCTATGGAATTCTGACATTCTTGTATTGCTCACCAGGCGTTTTACACTTGCCCCTCTCCCACTAATGCTTCCTTTCTAAGATATAACTTGCTCATCGTGTACCCATTTCACAATGAGAAGTACTTAAGTCATGTTAGTCGAGTAGTCGAGTTTTTAGTGGGACCTCTTTGTTCCCCCGGAGCTCAATGTTCTGGTGGTGGAATGTGGATTAAATGTTACATTTCATACATTACATTTAAATGTTACATATCAGCAAGCAGATGACGTCCTTGTCTGAGAGACCCTTCAAACTATTCACTGGAGTTTTGCCAGCGATAGGGAGTGGCGCTCAAGGCAGGGCTAATGCTCTGTCTTTGCTGACAGACTCTGGTTGAAGAATTTATGTGGAGAAAACCTTGGTCCTCTTCCAACAATTAAAAACACCATTGATCTGTGGATAGTAGAACTGGCTTTAAATCACACTGACGAAAAGAATAGTCAAAGCTGACCCCAAAGAAGGGTATAATGACAAATGTCTGAGTTTTGAAGGTTCATGTGGGAGCTTGTTGCAGTGAATGCTGAAGGCAGTGATGGTAAGTTTTGGGAGGTACCTCACTCACTAGGTGGTGCTAAAAAGCCAATTAAGAGTTCCACACCCAGACTTGCCCAATGCCCTTTCTTCCTCAAAACAAAGCTTTAGCTTTCTTTCCACCCACACCTCTGCTGGATGTTGTCATTTTCCTTCACGATTACCCTGCCTATGCATTGAAATTTGCTTTACTTGGATAAAAGATGTGTATTAGGTAACAGTTGATTTGTCCCTAGGGAACTTAGAAAAAGTTTATTATTTGAAATTGTGAATGTATATGTAACAAAACATTCGCCATTTCAATATTATTCACATATATAATAGATAGGAGAAAGGAGAAGTTCATAAGACCAACCATGAGGACAACAGAGTACAGACGGTGGAGATGAAAATAAAGGCTGTTGAATGAGGGGTTAGAACACTTTCAGCAATTCCAGAGTGGACAGAGAAGTGGAGGCAACTGTTTGTAGACCTTAACTTGTTTTTCTGTCAGCTCCTCGGAGGTGAAATGTTCCCTGTGTGTTGTGGGGATCCAGGCCTTGGCTGAAATGGATCGATGGCAAGAAGTCCTCACCTGGGTCCTTCAGTATTACCCCATCCCAGAAAAGCTGCCTCCCAAAGTTCTGGAACTGTGGTAGGTTTTTGTTCCTGATTCACTTGATCAGTTTAAGAACAAGGAGATTTTCATGTCCTCTCCTAAATGCTTACGTAACATTTCTTCATTACCAAATCTAATTCCAGTTATTTTTAGAGACCTTAAAATAGCAATAAAGGATGAAAAAAGGGGAATTTAGGAGTGGAATAGAGAGAAGACTGATGAGAGGGGGCATAGGATATATAGGAGGAATAAAATAGGATGGTGGAAGTAAATGTACCACAGTTGGGAAAGCTGTTGCTTTTTTATGTGTATGCGTGTATATGAGGTTATCTCTCTCTCTCTCTATCTCTATCTCATCTCTCTATATCTATATCTGTATCTATATATCTATATATATATAGAGAGAGAGTGTGTAAGAGAGAGTTAGAAAGTTGTGTCATTATTTAGACTGTATACAGCAAAATATACACCAATATAGCAGTTTCTCCATGTATCATTTAGAGACTCTGGTTACATTTTTACAATTGTACTATGATTCTCTCTCTTTTTTTTTTCTGAGTTATTTTTCCTTCTTAGTATAAACTCACTGCTCCCTTAGATGTCTAATTTTCTGAATTACTGTTGTCAGTTTTATCCCATGTAGATGTTTTTTTGTTTGTTTTTCATGTAGATAGTTTTGAAGAGAGGACAGCGCTCAAAACTGATAATTTTTTAAAAATTATTTGAGCTCTTTGCTTTTGAGAAGACATCAAGGGATATTTCCCATTTAAGGTTTAAAGATTATTTCAGGGCAACGGTTACAGAGGTTTAAACAACCTTCATGGCTTCAGGATTTTTGGAGTCCATGAAAATTTGAAGTTTTGTTCTGCATTTTCCCCTTTTGATAGGTTCTTTTGTGGAATCTTTGATCAGACTGTTTAGTGATGGTCGGAGGGTATCAGTTCTCTTGATATCATGGTGAAGAAGATAGTTATTCACAGAAACAATTAGCCATTTAGTCTGTATCCTCCACCTGTTTTTAGCTGAGAGACTGTTTTAAAACTTCCTAAAATATGTAATTCATATCAGTGTTGAAGGGTTGGAGAATATAGGGAGGATATGATAGTGGTTTGGAAAGATGTACCAGCTATGGAGGACTGACTGTTGGATGATTTTGGGCTGCAGTGTTCTTTTATACAGCAAAATGCAGGAGCCTGGAGCTATGCTGGATGTGGTCAGTGCCTGGCTCAGAGACCCAGCCAATCAGAGTCTTCCAGAATACAGAGCTTTGGCAGATCTTCACCTGCAGAAGGTGCTGCTACCTCTGGGCCATTTTTTAGAGGCTGAGGAGCTGGTGGCCGACGCTGTGGCCTTTGGTGAGGAGCAGCGGCTGAATGCACTCCAGGCCATTCATATGGCCAGGGAGCAGAAGAAAGGTGAACACCCAGGCTTTGAGGAGACCCAGAAGGCCAGCCAGCCAGGTAGGACATTATCCCTCTGTGACCTGTGTAAGGTGGGAGCTGTGGGTGTTCCCTGGACCTTGGAGTCTGCCATGACTTTCCTGTGAGCTTGAGAGCCGTATTTTCTGTGATACAGTCTCAGATCACAGAATCTTGTCCAGTTGCTCACGGAAGCCAAGCCCTGATCATCTAAAGTTGTCAGTGGAAGGAGAATCATCAGATCACTGTGTAGGGGCAGGCTTCTGGGTGTCAACCCTGACGTTTAACTCTTGAAAGTCAACTAATCTTTGTGGTGTAATCACACACCTCCTCCTTGAGGTTCTCTCACCAGATCACCTGCCTCCACTATGCTGGCTTGGCTGACATGTTACTCTACCTTTAAATGTTGCCTCAAATATAGACCCAGCTGACATATGCTTGAGCAAAACCAAAGGAAAAATAAGACACCAAGCCTTATAGGTTTCTTGCCTTCAGGTGCCCAGCATACTTTACCAATTGACAAGTTGGAGTGTCATCTCGGTGATCATCCACCTTCAGGGATGGCCCATTTCTACCTGTTGGGATGCAGATTTACAACGTGATTTTGATGGGAAAGCCAATTCAAGACTTACACCCCTAGCTGACTCTGTACAGGGCACATACATGAAGCTTATGTCTGTGGGCCTGGGGGTTAGTTTATTATTGTTGTTGTTGTTGTTATGTGCCGTCGAGTCACCTGCGACTCATAGTGACCCTATGTACAACAGCCCTAAACTCCACTCTGTCCTGTGCCAATCGCACTGTCTCTGACACTCCCATCCCAATTATCCCAGTCACTGAATCAATCCACCTCATAGAGGGCCTTCCTCTCCTGCGCCGTCCCTCCACCCTCCCAAGCATGATGTCCCTCTCTAAGGACCGGTCTCTCCTCACTACATGTCCAAAGTAAGTTAGACGGAGCCTCAGAATCCTTGACTCCAAGGAGCCACCCGGTTTAACCCTCTCCAGGACAAATCTATTTGTTTTCCTAGCAGTCCATGGTATTCTCAATACTCTTCTCCAGCACCACAGCTCAAAGGCATCAGTTCTCCTTCTATCCTCCTTGGTCATTGTCCAACTCTCTGATGCATAACAGGTGATTGCGAAGACCATGGCCTGTATCAGACGCACCTTAGTCTCCAGAGAGACACCACTGCTCTTCAGCACTTTGGAGAGGTCCCTAACAGCCGACTTACCCATGGCAATGCGCCTTTTAATTTCCTGGCTGCTGGTGCCAAGACTGTTGACTATGGAGCCAAGCAAACTAAAGCTGTGTACAATCTCAATCTCTTCACCATCCATCCTGATGCTGCCAATTGGTCCAGTGGTGAGAATCTTTGTCTTCTTGACATTGAACCTCAACCCATATTGTAGGCTGCAGTCCTTGACCCTCTGCAGCAGGCGCTTCAGGTCCTCCTCAGTTTCAGCAAGCAGGGTTGTGTCATCCGCATAACGCAGATTGTTGATAAATTGTCCACCAATCCTGACCCCACATTTCTCCTCATAGAGCCCAGCCTCCCGGATAATCTGTTCTGCATATAGGTTGAAAAGGTATGGAGATAGGATGCATCCCTGGCGTACGCCCTTCCCAATTTTGAACCATCCAGTGTTCCCTTGCTCTGTTCTGACGACTGCCTCCTGGTCCAAGTATAAGTTTCGCATTAGAACGAGCAAGTGTTCTGGGATTCCCATTCTTCTCAGAGTCAGCCATAGTTTGTTATGATCTACACAGTCAAATGCCTTTGCATAGTCAATGAAACACAGATAAACATTCCTCTGGTATTCCCTGCTTTCAGCCAAGATCCATCTAACATCAGCTACAATATCTCTAGTACCACGACCCTTTCTGAAACCAGCCTGGACTTCTGGTAGTTCTCTGTTGATGTGCTGTTCCAGTCGTTTTTGGATAATCTTCAGTAAAACCTTGCTTGCATGTGAAATCAGTGAAATTGTTCTGTAGTTTCCACATTCGGTTGGGTCGCCTTTCTTTGGGATAGGAACAAATATCGATCTCTTCCAGTCAGTTGGCTAAGTGGTCGTTCTCCAGATTTCTTGGCACAACTTGGTGACCAATTGACCATAGTTTATTATAGAGGACTTCAAGGTTCTGCCAGTCTGGGCCCTTCCTCTCAAGAATTCTTGAACCTTTGAGCTCCTTCTCCACAAGTGGTCTGTGCTTCAACAGACATCAGAAAATAGACTCTCTTGAAGTAGCTCTTTTTATCTGTGGAGAGTTTCATAGGGAAGGTCTTATGTAGAGTTTACATTTTTCTCACGCTACTTTTTGCCTACAGAACCTTGTTTTTTTATTTTTTTTTCTCTTGGTAACATATAAAGTCAGTCCAAACCAGTTGCCATCAAGTAAATTTCAAGTCATGGTGACCCTATTGTGTTAGAACAGAGCAGGGTTTTTTGAAGGAAATCACCAAGTCTTTCTTCCAGGTCGATAAGAACGCCCAACTTTTTAGTTAGGAGCTGAGTGTGTTCACTTTCTGCACAACTCAGAAACTCCTGCTAACATAACATAGGAAGAATTCCCTTTTTTCCTGGAAAACCATTCGTCTGTTTTTGTCATGTACCATCAAATTGGAACGACCTCATAGCTGACCCTCCAACATGTTTTCACAGGCAATAAATCTCATGGGTGGAGGTTGCCATCTTTCTCCATGGAGAAGCTGGTGGATTCAAACCATGTGCCTTTGGATTGCCAGCACAACTCCTTACCACTAAGCCACTAGAGCTCTCTTTTCAACTATTAAGGGACTGTAATTCTGGGGAGTCCTGGTCTCCAAAGTGTTTATGTACTGAAGAACCTGATATTACTGAGATAGGATCCCTTCTTTAAAAGCAGAGTGTCAGCTTCAGGGATCATTGTTGCTGCTCAGGACTGAACAGCACTTATTTTGGGGGAGTTGTAATGTTCACTTGCTATGGCTCTTAGAGCTGAATAATGAATAAGAATGACAGAAGAAGAATTGATGCCTTTGAGTGTGGTGTTGGAGAAGATCACCAAACATCCCATGGACAGCCAAAAAAAAAAGAACAAACAGATATGTCTTGGAGAGGGTGCAGCCAGAGTGCTCGTTGGAGGCAAGAATGATGAAGCTTTGTCTCACACACTTTGAGCGTGTTGCTAGGAGGGCCTCTTCCTTGGAGAGGACCATGATGCTGAGAATGTGGAGAGGAAGATCCTTAATCAGGTGAGTTGACATGGTGACTGTCGCAATGGGCTCTAGTGTGTCAGGAAGTGTGAGGGTGGCACAGGATAGGACCGGCTTCAGATCTGTGGTTCATAGGGTCGTTATGGGTCATACTTAACTTGGTGGCACCAAACAACAGCAACAAGTGTTCCCAGTGAGGTGGATTGACGTGGTGACTGCAGCAATGGGCCCAAGTATATCAGAGATGATGAGGATGACACAAGATAGGACAGGATTCAGGTCTGATATTCATAGGGTTGCTGTGAGTTATACTCAACTTGACAGCTCCTAACAACGGTGTTCATGTGAAGGATTCCTAGTGGTGTAATGGTTAAAGTGCTTACATAATAATAAGAAGGTGGGCAGCTCAAACCCACTGGCTGTTCTATGTGAGAAAGATGTGGCAGTCTATTTTAATATGGGATTATAGTCTTGGAAACCCTGAAAGGTGGAGACAGCTCTAAGCTGGCCAACAGGATAGTTATAAATCGGAATCCAAATCCACTCAATGGCAATAGGTTTGGGTTTTGCCTTTTGGAGTTTTAGAGTAAGGAGCATTTGTGCACTGGTTGAGTTCTTGGCTACCAACAAAAAGGTTGGTGGTTTGAGCCAACCTAGGGCCTCTGAGGGAGTGAGACCTGGTGATCTATTCCTTACAGGAATTTACAGCCTAGAAAACTGATGGTCTCTCTGAGTTGAAATTGCCTTAGTAATGGGGGTAGATGTGTCAGAGACAAATAAGGTTGGCACAGGATAGAGCAGGGTTCAGAGCTGTTGTACAGAGGGTTGCTATGAGTTACAAGCAATTTAATGGCACTTTTTTTTTCAATGGCACATTAACAACAGCAAATCCCAAACATCAACAGTGTTCATATTTCTATTCACAATCCAAGACTTGAATTCACTTTATGTATTAGGTGCCTTTTTCTTCCGAGTGTCAGCATGATGATGAAGAGCTAGTGCTCGCTGTAACTATTTATCTATCAGATCTTAAACCAAAATAAAAGGAATGAAGGCCATATATTGAAACCATTAAAAAGAAAACAAAATCCAACCAAGCCCAGCTGAGGAGTTGTTGTCTGCCAAAATCTTCTCTTTAGGGGACTATGGTCTTTTCATAAAGAGTTTCGAAACTGGGATTCTATTTAAATCTGGTTTACCAGCTATATGAGAAGATGAATTTCATGACACCCCCCCCCCAAGTTTTTGGACTGGTTACATCGTTCATAATGTATGAACCATTGTGGTTGTTACCTTTTGTTCAAGTCTTGTAATCAGGCTCAAAGCTCAGAGTCAGGAGCCCTGATTCTTGTGATTTACTGTTAAACTCTGTCCTTCTGCCTAGACTCCTCCCACAAGTTCCTGTCACTACTGACCCTGCTTCGCCGGCTTTGGGATTCTGCAGTGACTCGTGTCTTTTCTCTGCCCTTCAAAAAGACCCTCCTTGCCACCTTGATCCTCTGCTTCTTGATGGTGAGGTTTGATCCTGGTGAGTGACGGTGTCTGCTTCCCCTCCTGCCTCTTGCCCTTCCTTGGTGCAGGGGGTCTGGGGGGTGCTGCATATGTGGCTAAGAGAGGCTATTCCTTGGAAAGGGACATCATACTTAGAAAAGAGGAGGGTTGGTGAAAGAGAGGAAGACCCTCAACAAGGTGGATTAACACAGTGACCGCAGCAATGGGCTCAGAAGTGTCGGAGATGATAAGGGTGGTACAGGACAGGGACAGGGCTCAGATCTGTTGTTCACAGGGTTGCTATGAGTCATTCCTGCCTCAATGGCACCTAACAACAATAATAACAGCAAACCTGTGAAAATAAGTGCCTTCTACAACTGCAAGATACCAGAGTGTCTTCCTTAGGATGGTGGTCCTTCTGTGCGATTTCACTCTCGGTGTTTCCTAAGAGGAAGAATTGCGGGGCTTGTCCTGGAAGGGGAGACTAGATGTGGGACCTCTGAGAACAGTTTGTGTGTCTGAAGAATTCCACTCTACCCTGTTTACCCCTCATCACTGAGTCACTTAGTCAACTGCTTTATTCAGGGGTAACCCAACCAAACCACGTGATGTTCCATTGGTTCCAGATCATGGCAATCCTGTTGTTGATGGAGTATACTCCGTAGGGTTCTCAATGGCTGTGACCTTTTGGAAGTAGATTGCCAAGCCTTTCTTCCAAGGTGCCTCTGACCCTTGACATTAGTTGCTAAATGTTTAAGTATTGTGCTTAAAAACCTAGTATTAAAAACAACAGCAAAAGCTTTCTTATCATGATAGTTAAAAAATGTAACTGCTAATTTTAAATATAATAAATTTCAAATGACAAATGTATACATTTTAGAAAATGTGGAAAATAGAGACACATATAAAAAAGGAAATAGAAATCACCTGTAATACTGCTCTATAAGGGTATACTTTCACTTATATCCATGGACATACATACTGTAGCAGTTTGCATGTGATAGGTATTCTTTAAAACATGTCTTAAATGACTAATACTCCAACTTACAGAAACCTCCATAACTGATAGACCAACCTCCCCTTTGAAAACATTTTGTTTCTGACCATGTTGTCAGCCTCACTGTGTGACACTGAAGTGAGCTCCCTGAGTGATACACAGAGTAAGTAACCTGGTTATTTCCAGATGATTAATCTTTGAGCTAGGTGCTCACACACTTTTGGTGGTGGTTGTTTTAAAATACATGAGTTACGCATTTCTACAAAGATGACGCCAAAAGCGAAGAAGGAAGCCCCTGCCCCTCCCAAAACTGAAGCCAAAGCAAAGGCATTAAAGGCCAAGAAGGCAGTCCTGAAGGGCGTCCACAGCCAAAAAAAAAAAAGAAGATCCTCACGTCACCCACCTTCCAGCGGCCTAAGATGCTGAGACTCTGAAGGCAGCCCAAATACCCTTGGAAGAGTGCCCCAGGAGATACAAGCTTGACCACTATGCCATCATCAAATTTCCCCTGACCATGAAGAAGACAGAAGATAATAACACACTTGTGTTCACTGTGGATGTCAAGGCCAACAAGCACCAAATCAAACAAGCTGTAAAGAAGCTCTATGACATTGATGTGGCTAAGGTCAACACTGATTAGGCCTGATGGAGAGAAGAAGGCCTATGTTTGACTTTCTCCTGATTATGATGCTTTGGATGTTGCCAACAAAATTGGGATCATCTAAACTGAGTCCAACTGGCTAATTCTAAATATAAAATTTTCTCACCATAAAAAAACAAACATGAGTTATGATCTAATCTCTACTCTTATGAAGTAAGATATAGAATTGTGTAAATTTGAAAACTGAAACAAAAATTTATCATCTAGTTCTTTTATCTTTGTTTCTTCATTTTTCAGACAGGGAAACCTAAGAGGGGAAATCATTGACCCCAAACCACCCTATGTGTCTCTTTTTAAAACTGCTGCTTTCCCCCCTTAGATGCATCTTATTATTTTTACAGTTTGTTGTCATCGTGACACAGTACGATATACTCTCAGTAAAACATACACCAGCTCAGCAGTTCCTCCATGTTCATTTTCGTGATGTTACTTACATTCTCCCCATCACGCAGCTGTTCTCAGCCTCCTTTTCTGAGTGCTCCCTGCATGGTTAATATAAACTCATTGCCCGCTGAGGCTCCTTTTTAATATTTCGAGTTGCTGTTGGCACTTTGGAGCTAGATCTTAAAAGAGCCTAATGCCTAAGGCAAATACTAGATGCCTATTTTAATAGAAGATTCGGGGTGGGGGAGAAATGCTATCTTTACATGCACGTGAACATGGTTGTGTTAGGGAGTAGAACTCAAAATATGCATGCAGTTTTTAGATTAAAAAAAGTAGGGTTTCAGAGGAACTGCCCTGTGCACTCTGCTCCTTCCTACAGGGGCTCTGAGGCCTAAGTACACCAAGATCTGCTCCAACAGGGTAGCAGGGGACTCAGACCTCTGAGCTGTGGGCACACAAGCCCCAGTAAGACTGCCTTCCCCCCCACCCTTAGTCAGCTAGCTTTCTTGGGTCATACTCAAAATTGTCCTTTTAATCCCCTCACTGACCCCTGAGCAGGAATTCCCTCTGAACACCTTTTTTCTGATTCAGAAGTCACAGGTAGCTTTCTAGGAAGTGAAGCATAGTTTTTGTCCATTCTTGTTCACCTGACCTTCTGCTTTGCTCCAGAGACTTGATAAACACTTAGAAATCCCTCACGGTTCTTATCAGGATCTCAGGCTGTGCTGTGGGAAAGTGCTTAGCTGCTAACCAAAGGGTCAGCAGTTTGAGCCCACCAGTAGTTCTGTGGGAGAACGTGGGAGATTTACCACCTTGGAAATTCTACAGGACAGTTCTCTTCTGTCCTATGAGGTCACCATGGGTCAGAATTGACCCAATAGCCATGGGTTGGGTTGGTTTTGGTGTGATTTTCATAAGCCCTCCAGTCTCATAAGTGTGGCCTTGTAAGTGATAAGGCCTGAGGCCATTTGAACTTTCTGTTTCCAAGGCTGCTAAAGGCTGCTTGAGACGTTTCCTGGCCTTACGGGTCCCAGGCCTCACTGCAGGCATGCTGCATTCAAGAGGAAGACCTCCACCAGGCAGCAGCTAGACTGTGTAATTGTTATGTGCCTGTTGGAACTGAGAGGGCTGACCCTCTAGAGGATTTTCAGAGGTTGCAAATCGCACAGGAGGCAATTGCCTGTCTTTCTCCCTGAGAGCAGTTGGTGGATTCGAAATGCCTTCAGGTTGGCAGCCGCAGCTCCTTGCCCACAAGGCCACCAGACCTCTGTTAAAATATAATGGCCACGATGTAAAGAGGATTGATTATCAACCTCTTTCTTGATAGATATGCAAAAATTAAAAATAAATTAATAAAGAAAGAAATACCTCTATTTAATTTTTATTTTTTTAAATAGTAATTTTAGTAAGAAAAAACCCTCTTAGCTCCAATTCCGGAGAGGTATAGTTTATTTTCTTTTCAGTATAACTGATTTATGTTAAAAATGAAGAGTTCTGGTGTACAATGGCCAAGAACATGGCTGTTACTCAAAAGAACCCCAAAAGAACCCCACTAACCGCTCTGTGTGGAAGAACCTGACCATCTGTTCCCATGAAGACTGCAGCCCAGAAAGACCTGAGGGGTGAGGGTGGGGCCTTGTCATGTGGGATCACTAGCAACTGAAGACCACTTGATGGCGCAGAGCAGCAGAACAGGTTAAAAATAGGTAGTAGTATCACATGGCTTAAAAGGTACCAAAAGGAATACTGTGAAATATTTCATCCAGGCTTATCTTGTTCAAGACTGCCACTGCTACCACTTTTATTTTCTTTTATATCAGAAAGTTACTTTGAAACATAGAAAGCTTGGATCCTTTTCTCCTCAAATTTAAGGTCATTCTAATAAAGTAAAAATAATACAACCTAGAGAAAGTGAAATTCGTTATTGTTTGGGGTAGGAGCATGAGCAATTAACATTAAACATAAAAATATTTTTAAAAAATATTATGTATTATCACACGTTTCCAAGGCACAGGAGATGGGACTGAGGGGGAGGAAAGCGAGGAGGGAACTGACATCTTCCCTTCTCCCTGCAGCTTCGCCGTCCTTCCTGCCCTTCCTCTACAAGCTGGCTCAGATCTTCCATCGCGTCCGGGAAGCTGTATTTTCTCCCCTCTACCGACTCCCTCTCCAGGACTGAGTGTTCTGCCCTGTCCTTCGACCTCTTCTTTCCCCACACTGCCACCTCAGAGCAGGGCCACTTATTCATGGTCGCCTGTATCCTGTTGTGATGAGCCCTCTGGGGAAATGGGACCAGCCTAATTCTAGAAAAAGCCAATCCAACTATTTGAATTGTGTCTTGCTGTTTGAATGTTCTCCCTTAGGGAACCCCACTTTATTTGGTCTTGGGAGGGGTCATGTGTGGCTAGAGGCACAACTCCCCTAAAACAGGCCCCTGTATATTCAGAGACCGCCTGGAAGGAGAGGTTTGGGAAGGGAGAGTGTGTCTGTGAAAAACATTCTTATCTTCATGGTCAAGAGAGAGAGTGTATTTTCCAGGTCAGGGTGTCAATGAAATTAGAAGTTCCAGAAAAGCCTGACGGAGTGACCTTCAGCCTCTTGAAAAATCTGCCTTTGAAAATCAGGCCATTGGTTAGTCAGTCAGTGACCTGAGTGGGGCCATTTCTGCTCTGCTGAGTTCTCCTCCGCAGGTCTGGTCTAGTTACACATCACTAGATCATCCCTACAGTCCTGTGACAGCTCAGGTCCCTTACCGACCACGGCATAACCTCCAGAACCACCCAGGTGACTGTCGCAGGCACAGTGAGACTGCTCCACTCTTATCACTGGTAAAGTGATCTTGCATGGTGCCTCTTGGTTGTCAGTTCAATTTTCCAGGTTGTCAGTGGCCAAGCCCTGCTCTATTACAGTCAGCGTCTCTGCCCACCTCTTCCCGCCTGCCAGCCTGCCCCTCACTCAGCAGGAGTGCTTTTGTTCTTTGTCCAATGTCTGTTTCACGACTCCTGCCAGTGTCCTTGCCTCCTGAGTACTCACCAGCACATGGTCCTGCCCTCCACCCCCTTTTCTGTGACCTGTTGTCCTAGTTATGTGCTGTTGTTTGTATAATGCACAAGTTTTTCCACTTGTGTGGTCTGGAGAAGTAGGCCAACTTCAGAGGCTGAGGAGCTGAAAATGGAACTAGGTAATCAGGTGAGCTGGAAGGGATGCCTGGAGGGGGTGGAGCTCACACTGGGGGGGAGGTGACATGACATTTGACAGCAGTGACAGTAAGACCTGAGAGACTAACAGGTTTCTGAACACTACATTCTCCTTCACTCTGCTGTGCCCCCTTCCTGTGCAATGAGCTCCTCAAGGCTCACCTAGTGCTCTCTGTTCATCGCCCTTGTTTCATATCCTTTCTGTAGTTGTGACCTCATGTCCTGATCATTGTGAAATTCTCTTTTGCTTCCAGTAATTACAAGGTCTTTACATTTGGGGATTATAGTAGTTATGAGCCTAGGCTTAAGAGTCAGGGTCAGATATCTAAGTTTGGGTCCCTGCCACGCATCAGGTGTGTGACCTCTGGAAAGTGACTTAATGTCTCTTGCCTTGGCATTCTCATTTGTAAATTCTCATGATGATTTCTGTGGAGCAGATGGCATCATGCTTGTGAAGTGCTTAGCATTTTGCTCTCCCCCAAGCAAGAGCTCTCAGGAATTCTAGCTGCCACCAGTATAGTGCTCAACTGTGTTCATATATGAATGAATTGAAACAGCCGACATGACAAGTCTGTACACTTTGGGTGAATATGTGGGGTTTTGTGTTGTAAGAACCCCAAATTGAAGGAAAACCTAGTTATTGCAAATAGTTTTCAGCTCCTGTATCTCCTGAAATTCCCCAGTATTCTTCCACCTGTGGTCACCGAAGGTCCCAGTTTTATGTTTGCCTTGAATTCTGGCTGTGCTGCCTGGTAACCAGCCCAGCTGCCTGTCTAGTTAGGTGAGGAACACAGAACAGAGCTGCTCCAATGACCTTGACCTTTTCTCATGATACAGCCTGTTGCTCTTGTCAGTCCTCAACTCCGGCTTTAAGGAGGTCAGGAGGGAGGCTTCCTTGTTAGACTCCACCCCCTGCACCTGTGTGGCTTTTGAGCACTTGTAATGTGACTAGTCCAAATGGAAATGTTTCATAAATGTAAAATGCACACTGGATTTTGAATACTTACTGCTAAAAAAGAATGTAAATTCTCTGAGATTTTTTAAAACATTGATTATATGCTGAAATGGTAATTTTTAGATATGTTAAGCTAAATGAAATATACTATTAAAATTCATTTTACCTGTTTCTCTCACTTTTTTAAATGGAAATCTTAGAGCCAAGTGACTCACGTTTGTGCCTTGTGTTATAGTTTTGTGGACAGTGCTGTTCAGTACACACTGCACAATGCACATATCGGCAAGTTTTGAGGAAGACAGAAGTCTAGAGAAGCAGCAAATAAATTTGGTAAGATGTCATATTTAGAACAATCATGGATTACAGATCAGATCATATACTAAAGAAAAAAAGAGCAGAGTGCTGCTCTCTTGATTTTGTCTCATGACAACCCCATGCATGTTAAAGAATTGTGCTCCAGTTGGCTTACTATGACTGGATTTTTCAGAAGTAGATCTTTCTTCTGAGTAGTCTCTGGGTAGATTCACACCTCCTACCTTTCATTTGGCAGTCAAGTGTGTTGACTGCACCACCCAAGAACTCCAAAATTACCATATGATCCAGCACTTCCACTCCTAGGTATGTTCCTGAAAGAACTGCGACTGCACCCAACAGACCCCTGTACACACCACCATTCATTGTAGCGTTACAACAGCCAGCGGGTGGAAATACCTCGTGTCCCTCAAGTGATGAATGGGTAGGCAAAGTGTACATGCATATAATGGAATATTACCTGGCTATAAGGAGAAATAAAAATTTTCTTTCAACATTTTTTCTTCCTTTAAAAGAAAATTCACGTTGGCCACCCAGGTCCTTTATAACCTATGAAAATTGCAGGTTTAGGATAGAACAGTTTGCCAATAGGGAGGGACCAGTTGGCCCCATTGAATGTCCTCCATGACAGCAAATGGAAGTGATCTAGGAAAAATAATGCGTAACACATTGTTTATTTTCTGTGGTGGCCGAGCAGCTTGAGAGTGGACATGGGGTCATGATGTGCTCTCTCTCGCCTACATGTGGCCAGGCCTGAAAAATTTAGTGGTGGTGGAATATTATGACCTATTTCTCATTTTAATACTGACTCATGCTCACATATAACACTGCTTCCCAGCTGATATTTTCTGGCAGCCGTTTGACATTTTTAATACCCCCCTTGTCATTTTTGCACTGTCTGAGATGGGGTATGAGTTCATTAGATTAGGTGAGGACTGGCGAGCTTGAGATGATATTGGAGTGGTGGTAGTATAATATTGCAAATGATCTAAATGTCACTGGTTCATATGAAAGTGGTTAATTTTATGTTACCTAAATTTCACCTTAATAAAGAAAACAAATTTTTAAAAAACATTTCAAGAATGGGTTGATCAACAAAAATGGTTTTTGTATATCAGTGTTAAAAAATAAGCCCCATGTTTATGACATCAGCATCATTTACACGGAGATGTTCCTTGGGCAGAAAAGGAAATGATATGGGCTTTAGAATGCAGAAACTTTGGGAGTAAATCCAAAAACCATAAAATTCATCAGAGACAAATTGGGATCAAGCTTAGATGGCTGGTGCTATAAAGAGACTCCCAAATACAGCCGGAAAGGCTAAATCTGGAGAGGATAAAATTGATTAACTGGGACCTTCTAAAGATTAAATCAATGTGTGCATCAAAAACTTTTTCTGACAGAATGAAAAGAAAACCTACTTACTGGGAAAAATAATTTGGCAAAACCATTTCAGAAGAGGGGCTCATATCAAAAGTTTATAGAATCCCTTAGGGCCTCCACAAGGAAAAAACTGATAATACAATTACAAAATGGGCAAAAGACATGGAAAGACTTTCACAGAGAAAGATATTCAAATAGCCAAAAAAACACATGAAGAAATGTCCCAAACCACTGACAATAAAGAGAGATGCAAATCAAAACCACAATGATATACTGTCTCACTCCAGTAGCAGTGGCAAAGCTTAACAGGAACAGCAAGTAATAAATGTTGGAGAGGATGTGGAGAGATAGGAACTCTATATGTTGTTGGGATTGTAAAATGGTACAACCACTCTGGAAAGCAGTTTGGCGCTTCCTCAAAAAGCTGAAAATAGAAATTCTGTATGACCCAGCTGTTCCACTGCTTGGAATATATCCCAAGAAAATGAGAACAGAGACACAGAGACTTGTACACCAATGTGCATAGCAGCAGTATTCACCATCACACAAACATGGAAACAGCCGAGATGTCCAACCACAATCAAGTGGATTGAGAGCTTATAGTACATTCACATGATGGAATACTATGCAGTACACAGGAGCAATGATTTTGTAAATCACTGCCTAACTTGGGAGGGACTGGAGAACATTATGCTGAGTGAACTCAGTCCCATAAATACAAATACGGCATAAGACCATTATTGTAGAATGTGTATGAGGATCAAGGGTTGGGGGGTCAGAAGCAGAAAGGTGAGGATGGGCAGGGGGATGGAGAGGTGGTTAATTATAGAGTCACACACAATTTGATAGGTGAAAGGAGGGGTGGGTAAAGTAAGTGGGAAAGATCCAGTGTGAAAAACAATGTATACAAATTTGTAAGTAAACTAGTATGAAATAAAACATTTATTAAGGAAAAAAATAATGCGTCCATGTGTATGGCTATCTGGAATGGAAAGGGGAGGGGGCAGTGGGTGTGAGGGTGAGGAAGGGAGAAGTCATGGAATCTAAGAGTTTGATGTGTAGTGGGAGGGGTTAAAGGAATTAGGGAAGATCAAGTGAAGATCTGAAAAGGAGGGGTAATAGTGGGCATAGATCAATGGTGATTAATTTTATAAGACACTATGAAAATGATCATATAAAACAATGTGAAAGAAATTTGTTTTTAAAAAAAGGATGCATCCAACAGATTCTCACCCTTAGCCATTTTAAAGTATTAACTCCAGTGACAGTTCTCCAACCATGAAAATCAGATGTAGTATTGTTTGAATGCTAGCCTCTTAAACAAAATATAAAAAGCAAATAAATATTTTTTTCTTATAGTAAAGGGATGCATACAGATTTTGGAAAATAAAACATTAGAAGAGTGAACTTTCATGTAAAAGGCTTTTTTTATCAGAAATGCATTTTTATTTGAAAACAACTTAAAATTTTAGACAAATTATTTTAGTATATAAATTTGATTTTGTCTTTATACAGAATATAAAGATGTCCCTCATTAATGTTCCATACGAAGGTTTTTTACTTTCTGCACACAATTGTGTATCTTACATGTGTCATACTGGAAACCAGTTTAGTGATCCTACACATAAATTAGGACAACACGCATTAAAAAGGGGAGAAGAGAAATACTCTAGTGAATCCGATTCATGAAGCAAACATGACACAAAATCTGTGCATTTAAGACCGAGTCAGTAACTTTAGTTAGGACACTGCAGATTATACTGGGATAACAGATTTGTGAGGCTATAAAGTCGTGTGCACCACATTTAAACAGCAAGGAATAGCTATTGAAAAAAAGGCTGAAAGAAAGGATTTTTGCTAAAGCAAATTATCTTGTCAATTGCCAAAACAAACAAAAGTGAGCATCATAATGAGTGTTAGTATACTGAAGGCATGTCATACCAGCTGATGTGCAGCATGCTAAAAGTTAGTTAGAACTTCTTCACCGGTGCATACATAGCATTACTAGTCATGGAAAGTTTGCTTGTTTGTTTGTTTGTTTTTGCTTCCTTCTTGCCAAATTTCAGGCATGTCTTATTTTGGATGGAGTATAACTTTTATCTATTATTTCATCCTGTAAAAACATGTAGAGACAACGTTCATTCTGTGCCAGGGAATGACCAGCGACCTTGTTTATAAACTGCTCCAGTCCTTGCTTTCTTTCCTCAATAAAACTGTCATCAAAGATTCCATCATCTCCTCTAAAAGGAAGTTGACGCAAAAACTCTTTTCCAGGGAGCGGGGGAACTACAACCTTGCTTTCTCTTTCTAACTCACTTCGAAGCCATTCAAAGTCACTGTATCGTCTTCTAACTGTAGATTCCTTCAGCTTAAAAATAGGAAGATTTGTCTTGACCCTGATTTCGTAGGTGGTGAAGCGGCCCCTGCCAACCCCCACGGTTTGGGGGTTGCTCAGATCGATCTCGAGGAAGTTGCTGGGCGGCCCGTGGGCGTCATTCAGGTTCTGCGGCTTGGTGATCAGCCGCCGGGTGTCTGCCACTGTCTCCGCCATTGCCATTTCGCTGTTGCAGCCGCCGCTGCCGCCGCCGCGCGGGCTCCCTCCGCCCCCTTCGCGTTGCACCGAACCTACCGCTGTCGCCCGTCGCGGAGACACGAGAAAGGCTTTTATTTATGACAGTACTATCCCTTTTCTTGCTCCTTTTTCAACCTCATTGACTACTGTTTCTCTTTCCTTACCTGGTTTCATTTTCTTTCTCTCTCTTTTCACTTTTTCTTGTGATTTGGGTGAAAGTTTTACAGAGCAAATTGGTTTTCCATTCAGTGTTGCACGCGCATTTGTCTTGTAAAATGGATACAGTCCCCACAGTGTGAGAACACTTTTTACACTTCCTCCCTGTTTGCATTAGTCCTTCTTTCCTATCCTTTCTGGCTTTCGAACTTTTGTTACTAGGGACCTCAAGTTGCTTCCAACTCATGGCAGATCTATCGTTGCACAAAAGAACAAAACACGTCCCAGTCCTGTTCCCTCATCACAGCTGCTGCTGTGCTGGAGCCCATTATGGGACAATGAATAAAGCCCATTATTGTAGCATTTATTCATTGTCCAATCTTCACATGCCTATAAGGTGATTGAAAATACCATGACATGGGTCAGGCTCACAGAATTCTCATCATTGAAGTGGCATCCTTTCTCTTTAGCACTTTAAAGATGTTCTTTCCTACAAATTTGTCCCTGGGGATACCCCATCCACTTCACTAAGGTAGATTCTGCTTTAAGGAGGCGGTTCTTCCCTGGCCATATTTTGAATGGCTTCTAACATGAGCATCATCCAACACGATATCAGACTGTTCTGCTGCCATTCCCAAGATTTTTAATGCCTAATCATTTCCAAGATTAATAGTCTGTCCTGCTTCTTAGTCTGGAAGCTCTGCTGAAACCCATCAGTCATGGATGAACTTGCTGGTATTTTGAAATAGCAGTGGCATAGCTTCCATCACCATAGTAATTATACAAGCCACCACAGTATGGCAAATTGCCGGAGGAGTGGTGGAGCTTTATTTGACCTCATTTAGTTGATTGTTCTAAGAGTTAGTGCTATCCTGCTGTTAATATTCACCTTACAGATTTGTGTATTGTTTGGCCTTAAGCTGAGTCACAGGGAGAAGTTCAGTTCCAGACTTGAAGACCTATTAAAGAGCATAATGTCAAGGGTTCCACCAGTCTCAATAAGATCCATCAGTCTGACCTTTTCATGACTTGGGCCTTTGTTCCACATTTTTCTCCCACTCAATCTAGGTTCATCCACTGCAGTCCATTTCTGAGTGGTTGGCAGTTGTATCCAGGCACCATCTAGTTCTGCTCTCAGGGCTGTGCAGACTCGGGTTCACTTGGTTCAGTAGTTCTGGGGGTATTTCCTTATATAACTGATATTTCCTTGCATCATTGATTTCTTCACTCTTTGCTCCAGATGGCTTCTCTTTTCCTTCTGACCTTCACACTTGGAATGAGAGTGCTCTCAAGGCTCAGCCTACAGCTCTTCTGTTTCTACATCATTTTCCTTGCTAAATTTTTCTACTTGTGTGAATTCAACTTCTCTGAATGGGCCTATTCTCCCACTGTCCTGCTGACCTTCTCCATTGGAAATGATACATCCAACTGCAGATAAAACTTGAACCCACGTTCCTTTCTTCCTGCTTACCCCCACACCAGACTCTTGATTATTGTTGCGGATCAGCCTCACTCCCAAACCCACTCAGGCCCAATGTTCTTCTCTGCACTTCATCTTCCCATAATCTGGTTATGCTTCAGATCTCAATTTACTGCTCAGCCAAATTCCTCCTTCTCTAAAACCTTCACTAACCACTCCTGATAGTATAATCTTCTATTTTTTTTAGTCATTCTGTGGCACTTCATTGCCATTCTGTTAATTTTGCTAAATTAGTCAACATTCGTATTGTTCTTTATAGCTGCCTGGCAATCATGTATCTTTTCTCTCCATTTGGATGAACCCTTTTTATGGGACAGGGTCCAGTCTCCTGGCTGCAGCAGTATAGTTAACATGTATACCTGAGTCTTTGGGTAGCACAAATGGTTAAGTACTCAACCTCTGGCCAGAAGGTTGGCAGTTTGAACCCACTCAGGGATAGACACCTTCCATGACAGGCCCTGCATCTGAAAGGTCACAGCCTATAGACACATGGAGCACCATGAGTGGGATTGACTGGATGGTGACAACATTGCTAAGTAGTTACTATGTTCAAGGTACTGCTCTGAGCACATCCCTATTTAACGAATTGAATTGCATATTAAGTTAATTAGGAAGCTATCATCTTTACCTTAGAGAAGAGTAAAAGATTAAACAGTAACACACACAGTTAAGTAGGAGATCTAAGATTTGACCTCGGCAGACTGCCATAGAGTTCATATGCTTACATCTACCTAGGATGAGGTCATGCAGTAAAGATTCATCGGATGGACTTGGATTGTGACCTGGGAATCTGAAGAATGAAGAAACAGAAAGAGTAAACATGAATATTGCAGAAGTGCATGGGAGGTGAGGGAGGAGGAAGGGCCCAGCGTCCTTGGCACTTATCTGAGCAGTATCATTGCTCTGTTTGCTGCAGAGAGAAAGAGCAGAAGGTGCTCCTTCTCAAATGTACCAACGACGGCAAAGACAACCTGGCAGACAGCCTTCGATGTGGATATAAATACAAGCTGGTGGTTCCGTTGGATGACTCATGCAGATAAGCTGAGCCCTTGGTTTCCAGCAGCCTCAGCCAGCTCCCAAGGAATGGGCTGATTCTCTGAAAGAAAACCACTGCCTTTAATCCCCTTTAAAACGTTGTCTGAAAGTTTGGTTCACTCTCTCTCTAGTCTCTTGCCAAGTTGTGGAGAAAGTAAAATTGTCTTGTTGTCTTCAAAAGTCAGTCTACCCAATCCCAATCTCTCCGGGCTTTGGGTTCTTACTGGGTGTGATTTTCATTGCTCAGGAACCTTTTGTGGATCCTATGCACTCCTTACAGAACTCATTTGTATTCTGTCCCAGGGTTTATAAACCTAGTTAGATGAGAATTAGCTATTTTCAAAATTCAAAAAGCTCAGTTATCAAGTCATAAATTATTAATAGCCAACCCTCTAGTTGGTTTTCAGAGGCAGTAAATCACACAGAAGGAGATTACCCATTTTTCTCCTGAGGAGCAGCTGGTGGTTTCGAGCCACTTACTTACCTTTGGGTTGGAGCGCAATTCTTTATGTGCTCACCAAGTTGTCCAAGAAATATGGAGAACAACCACTTGGCCAACTGACTGGAAGAGATCGATATTTGTTCCCATTCCAAAGAAGGGTGACCCAACAGAGTGTGGAAACTATAGAACGATATCATTGATTTCACACGCAAGCAAGATTCTACTGAAGATTATCCAAAAACGACTGGAACAGCACATCACCAGAGAACTGCCAGAAGTCCAGGCTGAGTTTAGAAGGGGTCGTGGTACTAGGGATATTGTAGCTGATGTTAG